AGATTCTCCGGCGTGACCGAGGCTCCCCACGGGCTGCGCTCACAGCCCCTCCGGAGACGTCCTTGAACACCCCGAGACTGAGGGCCCCACGCTGCCCCGGACACTGACTCCAACCCCACCTCTTTCCAAAAGCATATTGTTTCCTTTTAGGCACGAGGAGGAAGCCCTTCATGACATTGCTTTGAAACTGAGGACGAGACGAGACAGACGGACAGAATGGTTAGAGCTGGGAGGAGGGGAGGGGGGAACAACCAAGGACTTCCGCCACAGACAGCCAGCAGCCATGACCTGGGACCTGGCCCGGGGCGGGGCCCTCCTGCCACATGGAACACGGGGTCAGAGGTCAGAGTGGCCTGCGTGTAGAGTGTGCATCGGGCTTGTGAACTAGGGGGAGCAGGGGAGGGACACAAATATATAAATATGTTTATATCTGGTGTCTACAGGAATACAAAAAACCATTGCAAAGGCTCCTAAGGCCTGGCGGCCGCACCCTAAAGCTGGACCTGGAAGGAAACAGATAAGATGAAGCAAAAGTCACAGCAGTACAGGAAGAAAGACACCGGAGCAGCGAGTCAGGAGGCAGGTTTCTCAGAGGCGATCGGCTTGGCACCCGTCTCAGCCCCCCTGGCCAGCCCCACCTCTCACCGAGCCTAGTTCTGCCCGGGCAGGGTTCAGCCACGGTCCTGGGAAATGACCTACCCCCCCGCCCCGACTCCTGAGGCAGCCAGGGGCCAAGATCTCCTGCCTGGTCCCCTGGGTGCCCTGTGGCTGGCAGTAGGGTATGGAGTGTCCAGCAAGCGAGCAGGCTGGCCCCAGAGAGGCCACCTCCTGTTAGCAGGGAGCTCGGGGACCTGGGTGCCGTGGCGCTGTCACTGACGGACACAGCCTTGACCTCTCTGGCCCTCAGGCTCCTCTTCTGCAAAACAAGAGGCTGAACCGGGTGAGGTCTAGAGTCCCATGGGGAACACCCTTCCCTCGAGACTGCTCTACCCGCAGTGCCTGAAATGCCTGCGTCAGAGGACTCTCTCTGGGTGGGCGCTGGCCACCCAGGGCCCTGAAAGCACAGATATGGCCTGGCAGGGCAGGGGCAGCTGCTACCTGCTGCCTGAGCAAGTGTCCATCCCCACAGAATGGCTCACCCACAGGGGCCTGCAGCCCCGACAGCTGAGAGGGGAAGGTGTGCTACACAGAGTCTGAGCAGAGCCCTTTCTCAAACCCACAGGTATACGGTGTGTGCAATTTCGAAAGTGACAACCACCTAGCCTTCTGCTGTGGGGATGGATGTCCATGCCGGCGTGGCATGGTTAAGTATAAAAATAGTTCCTAATGTGATCGCTTGAAACCACAGAAATCCTGAACACCCCAGGTCATCTGGTCAACCTCTTACTCAAGTCTTTGCTGCCTCTGCCTTCATTCCTACACGCACCTGTCTGGCCTGTCCTCCTCATGCCCTTGGTGCTCTCGGAGGTGACCCTGGGCCACAGCCAGGGCCAGGCCGACGAGGCCACAGTAGGGCTGCTCCCCTTCTCCCAAGGCCCCAGCCATTGTGTCTCCTCTGGCCAGCACTCCTGCCTATGAGTCCTCAGCGGAGGAGCTCAAACTACTCAGTGACCTGCTGAGGTGGGACTTCAGGATGCACACGTGCACACACACACACCTATGTACATGCATATGCACGCACTGAAATGCATGTGACATGTGGTCCTGAGAACCCCAAGATCACCTGTGAGGAGGGGTATTGAGCAGATGGAAGGTCAGTGGAGTCTGTGGCTGCAAGTGAGCGATGGGTGTAATGGGACCAGCAGGCTTCCCTCGTGGGGAGATGCTGGTCTTGCCCAGAGTCTGAGCCAGGGAGAGGGCTGGGACAAGGTGGTGCTGCATGGCTGGGGAGCACAGGGATTGCATGGAGGCACACGGATGTCCACCATCACAGGTGCTGTCCAGGATTGGAGAGCACCACTGTCCCTACGGCCTACAGCTGTGGCTCTGCCCCTCCAGGCACCGGGTGGGGGGCACCCCTGGAGAAGAGGGGGCCCTGGGCAAAGGATCTTTGGGGAGTGGCTGGAGGCCCCCGGGACCCGATGCCAGACGCGGGCATTCCACTCAGCCGCAGAGGAATACTCGGGTCCCGAGGACTTTGGCAGCTCACCAGGCCCTGGCCCACCCACGGTGACTGGGGATGGCCTGGCTCGCCTCATCCTGCCAGCCTCTGAGATGTGTGAGTCCCTCCTTTTGTTATCTGGTTTTCCAGACACACCTGTCTATTCCACCAGGAAAGAAGCAGACTGCCACCCACAAACGCCCCGCTTCACCGGGAAGGAGAGGAGAGGCCTCCGGCTTGGCTAGTGCGTTGAAGTCTAGCGGGTGCCCCTACGTCCAGGATCTGTGCCACTCGGGTCCTGTCAGCTTCCCCTGGGGAGGGAGACGGACGGGAACCCAGAGCCTGTGCACGGGGCTTGTGAAGTCAACCTGTCCGTCCACTTTCATTCCATAGGAGCAGAGACCATAGAGTTCAAGGTGTCGCTGCGCTGTGGTTGGGAGGCAGAGCGCCAGGTCTCTGTCCTATTGGTGTGATGAGGAGGCATCTCTTCCCCGAGGCTGCGCACTTCCTCCCTCTGGACCCGGGGGCGTGTTGGGAAGTGCTGGCAGGGAGGGTGGCACCTCTGCCATCTCCAAAGACAAACAGTCCCCTGTCCTCTCTGACGGGGCCTGCAGCCCGTGGGGCCAGTGAGTGCAGCGGGCTCCAGCCCTCCCTGAGAGCTCCTCGCAGCCAGGGAGCAGGCGAGGGAACCGCTCCTCCAGGGCCCGCTCCCCGGGGTGGGAAGTGGCTCTGGACTTGGGAGGCTGCAACCTCAGCACCCAACTAGGTGTGTTCTGCTCAAAAGATCCTCCTTCCTCCCCCAAGCCTGGGGTGTTCCTCCATTGAATCCTCTAGGTTTTCCCTCTGGCCTGGATACAGGCCAGGCGTGCTTGTTACGCAGCCCTGGCCTTCACATTCTCCAAAGACAAAGCCACAGCTCCTTTTCCTGCAGGGTGGTCACCCCGGACTGTCACGGGGACTCGGATGGGGCTACAGAGGGATGCTGAGGCCGGGCCAGAGGCTCAGCACAGGCTCTGAGCTTCCCGGCGGCCTCGTGTGCTCTTCCTCACAATGCCTCACTCCAGAGGACTCAGCCCTCTCGCAGGGGCGGGAGGGAGTGCCTGTGACTCAGGTACCTGTCCCAGGTGGGTGTGTCTACCTCGGGAAGATCCAGTGGCCAGTTACAAGTGTTTCTAATAGATGTGCGTGCGCACACACTCACATGTACTCTGCATCCCTATTTCTTGCATGCCTATCCACAGTGCCAGCCCTGAGATTCCACTGTCCTTCCTCACAGAGTAGCATGAGCTTTGGAGTCAGACCTCTATTTGAATCCCAGATCTATCGGCTACACAACTTCTCTGGGCCTCAGTTTCTTCATCTGTAAAATGGGGATACGCACGGCACCTGCTTCTCAGGTTAGTGGGAGGGTTTCCAGGATGACATGCGGCACCTCGACAAGCCTCCTGTGGGCTGGTCTTGCCCTCATCTGAGGAAGAAGATGATTGTGGGACTAAATAAGGGAAGGCCAGGGGAAAGGAGCTGCGGCAGCTTCACCAAAGGTCTGCACATGTGAAGGAAGAACATGTGGACCAAGTCGGGGTCGGCCTGGAGCCTGGGCCTGGAGGACAGGGGCTCCGGGCAACTGAGCGGAAGGGGAACTGGCCGCTGGTCGGAGAGGCTGCCCTGAGACCTGCCCTCTGCCTCCCAGTCTGAATAGCATCTTCACAAACGCAAATCTGACCATGACACCCCCAGGCCGGAAACACAGCCCTGTGATCTGGCTCCTGCCCCCTCGCCCCTGCAGAGGCCTCATCCCTTCCACGCTCACCTCGCACTTGGCATCGCAGCTGCAGAGTCACCTGCTGTCCTGGGCCTCACACTCGCTCCTCTCCCGTCGGCCCCACTGCCTGCCTGGCCAATCCCATTCTTGGTTCAAAACCCACGCGGATGCCCCTCCGCTGCGAGCCTCTGCACCACCCCCCCGCCCCCCCCGTCTGCATCACCTGCTCTGCCTCTCGGCTGCTCTACAGCGTCTCCCCGCCAGACCCTGGGCTCCCGGACGGCACAGCCCATCTTGTCTATGGTTTCGTGTGAGACCTGGCACCCAGGAGCGGCCCTGCTGGTGCGCTGAGCGGAGAGCAGTGAGTGACTGGGCGTCCCTACGTCTGTCCTGTGGCTCCTGGGGAGGTGTCCGCCCTGGGGCTGGAGCGGGGAACATGTCACCCGCAATGGTGACCTGTGCCCATAGTGAGGACAGGGAAGTCACATTTAAAATGGCTACAAATGAACATTTCGATCTTCAAGCGCAGGGGCTCCTTTGGACTCGGCTTCGGCCTCCCCTCCTCCCCGAGGGGCTTTCCTGTCTCCCCAGACCTCAGGCCTCTCTGGGCTCCATCCACCTGACCTCCCTTCCTCCGTGACCTTGACCTTCTCACGTCTAGTGCTTATACTTGGGAAGTCCCTCCAGGCTGGCCCTGCTCACCCCCTTGCCGTCACCTGGGATGTCAGGGCTGGAAAGAAGCCCGGACATCATTGGAACCAACCTCTTCCTTTACAGATGAGAAAACCCAATGCCTGCGAGAGAGGCTGTGATGTGCCTGGGGTCACAGGACAAGTGGCAGAGTCAGGTGTAGCACCCAGGTCTCCTAGCTCCCAAGGAGGTGCCCTCTTTCCCCCAGTGTCTGCCTCTTGGCTCCCAAGTTCTCCCACCTCCAGGTGGGCAGCCCCTCCCCACTGCTCCTCACAGCTCCTCCAAGTCCAGGTCCTAGCCCAGGAGTCAGGGCCTGTCTGCCCATCCCATCCCACGTCACACCCCCTCTCTGGGAAGGCCATCTCCCCCTCCTCAATGCTCATGACTCTCTCTGTTCTCAACTTTTCATTCCAGCCAACCCATCCCTTGCCTAGAACATTCTAGAACATTCTTTGCAGTCCGGAACATTTCAGGCCACCCATCCCTTGCCTGGAATGTTCTTCCTCCTTCTTTTTGGCCTGTCCCAGAAGCCTTCACTACTTTGAGTTTTCACCTGAGCGTGTCTTCTCTGCTGTGTGCCAGGGTAAGGTCTGCAGGTAAGGTCTCTGAACACAGTCAAAGGGCTCCCGTGCTCCTCTGGCCCACACCTTTCTAGCCCAGGGCTGGGCCATCGCTCAGTGCCAACCTGCCCCTGCAGCCTGCCCCTCTGTGTTCTCCAGCTGGTCTGGAGCAGGACCAAGGGCCTAGGATGCCACATCTGCAATTCAGCAGCCAGGTGCCATCACTGCTCGTTCTAGAATTTGCCGAAAGTAGAAGCACAAAGACCTCCCTTGGCCTGGAGAAGCCACTGGACATGCCCCTTTACCCCAGCTCATGCCCCTGACCCCTGTGCTCAGACAGAGAGAACCCAGGCAGCGGGGGCGGGAGACCCAAGCTGCCCACGAGGCTGGAAGTCACCAAGAGCCTGCACGGCTGGGGCCGGCGCGGCCGGGCAGGGCTTTGCACGCCGGGCAGCTCAGCTCTAAGTGAAAGGACACAACGGATTGGAAAGGAGATGCCAGCCAGTGTGCCATCCTGAAACAAAACACAGTCGCTCTGGGATTAGTTGGCAAGTCCAAACACAGCATTGGGAAGCAAGCAGAGGTCCTGTCCTCCCACTCTGAGCACAGTCCCGGCTCAGCGTCCGCCCCGGAGGCTGCAAGGCAAAAGGAGCAGCGGCATTAATCTGCTGATGGGTGAGAGAGAGGAGTGTGACCCTGGGCTGCCCCCCGCTGCTCTCCCTCACTAAGGAGCTAGAAGGTGGCCCCTGACTTCTTTGCAAGGGTATGAAGCAGACAAATTAAAAAATCAACGTAATGGAAAAAGAACAAGATGCTCATGCACCATGAAGACTCGTTCAGGTAGAAATAGCCGGGGCAGAGGGCAGGCGGGAAGGGAGCCAACGCTGAGAGAGACCGTGTTTAGGACACACCTGGTCTGGGCTTGGACAACGCCGGTTTAGGCTCAGTGTACCAGTATCAGGACAGGCAGCACGAACGAGGCTTTGGCTACAAGCCTCTTCTCCCCGACTCGGGCTGCGGAAAAGCGGCCCCTTGGGTGCCTTGTGCTCCTCAGCGGGGGCGGGGCTGGTCGATGTGCTTTTCTGGCATTAAGTTCACCATCGACAGCAGTGACGATGGTGCTGGGTACCCATGCTGGCCGAGGGGGGAGGGGCAGTGTGCAGTGGTCCCTTAACGTGGGGTCTACAGTCCTCCTAATCTCAGGGTGGGCTTGTGAGCCACTGAGAATTCGAGCTCCTCGGGGCGGGGCAGGGGTGTGGTCTACTGCTGGCGGAGGCCCCTGGTGACCAGCACAGCTGAGTGGGGCGGGCTGGGGCCGTGGCTGCTCTGAGGCTGCGTGTGAGAGGGTGCTGGGGAGGGGGAGGGGGAGGGGAGGAGAGATGGCTACTGGCTCTGTGACAGGGAGTCACACTTCAGGAACCTGCAAGAGAGGGGAGGAGAAAAGCGACACAAAAGCGTCCTACAAAGGAACAGACCCGACCACAGCTGGAAGGAAGGCAAACCTTTGAATCAGGTCCTTGAAATACAAGCTGCAGGAAGCTAGAACATTTTGGTGGACTTCAAACTCTCTGCCTTCAACAACAATTTTCAGGTCTGTAAAGGCTTTCGCTCTGCGCTGCTGGTTCAATTCCTTCAACATTTCTGCAGAACAGAGAAGACAGACAGGGCCAGGTTCCCATTAAGAGTTTTTTTTTTTTTTTCTTTCAAATTTTAAATTAAAAAAAAATTATTTTTCCAAGAAGTAGAGAAACAGGAAAATACTTGATACTGTTTCTTGGCAAGACTGGCTCAACACTGACAGTCAGAAGTCACAAACATAATGCATAGACAAGCGGCAACCGGAGGGGCCACAGGACCCGGGGATCACAACTTTCAAAAGCAAAAAAACAAAACAAAACAAAACAAAAAAACAAATACAAATAAAATAAAAAATAGAAATCAAACCCAGAAACTGAAAGTCCGGGGAAGAGAGTCCCGCAGTGACAGTGGGGAACATAGAGAATACGTTATCACAGACAGTTAGGAACTGCGTGTCGCTACGCAACAAGGCCTCCAAATGCCAATGAGTGCCGATGTGCTTGGTACCAAGTAAAGCATGGCATTGCGATGTAGGATGGGCTGGTATGGTTCAAAGGAATAGAAACCACAACACCTGCAAAAACAGCGTCCCTTGTTAGACACTCGGCCGTGGCTGGGAGAGCTTCTTGGGAGGGAGGGGAGCGTGAAGGGAAGGGTGGAGGGGGGACCCGGGGAGCAGGCCAGGGGCCGAGACCGTCTGTACCTTCTCCCACCTCCGGGGCCCTTCAGCATGGGAAAGCCTGGCTGGCAGCCCCAGCGGGGCCTGCCCACCCTGACGCACACCTACCTTTGCCTGGCGTCTTGGCCCCGGGGCTGGCACAGAGAGTGCCCCAGGCCCATGGGCTCCGAACCTGGGGCGGTCAGAGCTTCTCCCAGACCCATCTCCAGGCTCGGAAGGGGGAAGGAGGAGAGGCTGGCCACCACCTGCTTACTTTCTATAAACGCTTTCACTTGACAAAGTTAGGGCCTTTGGCTGACCAGTGTTCCCACAAGCCTTGCCTTGCCCGCCTGCCCCTGCAGCCCTGGACAGAGCCTGCCCTTAGCATTGCTGGTTGCTGGACAGCAGGGGCCCCGATTCTGGGTCCAGAATGACGTAGACTGTTGTCAGGCAGGTTATGTCCTTTGGCAGGGGAATGGGAGAAGGTGGTCTGCGAAACTGAGCCCTGTCCGCTAAGCCGCTCCCAGCAGCCCAGACCTCCGGGTCCGGGCAGAACCCTGGCCGGCACTCAGGAGTTACCCGCCGGTGCGCCCTGCGCCAGTCTGGCTAGTCATCTGTCCACACGGGCGGCGCTGGCTGCTGCCAAGATGCCCCGCTGAGCCCAGCGCTGCCTCTGACAGCGGAATGCCCCCGGAGAAGCCCCCGCGCACCCTGAGCCTCTGGTTCTCCATCTGTGAAAGGGGGGGTGCAGGCTCCACTTTATTCCCAGAACCTGGTGAAGATCAGATACTCAAGGGCCCGGGGGCTCGAGGTCAGGCAGGCTCTTCCTTGGGAGGCCACCCTGGCCTCTGGCGGCCCAAGACCACGGGAGACGGTGAGCACACCCACACGGGGACGAGGAGGGGGCGGGGACCGAGGTGTGGGGCAATGGCAAGTCACTGACCCCCACCATCCCCACATCCACCAGGCTGGAGTCGCAGCGGGCCGCCTGCAGGGGGCGCTGCTGAGGCCTCTGGAAGGCTGCTCGCAGGTGTGCCCAGTCCAGCAGCAGGACACCAAGCGCGAAGCGTGGGGTGAAGGGCAGGAAGGTGCTGGGGGCAGATACAGGGGACGGGGCCTGGGAGGGGTGGGGATGCGATGGGTGGGCAGGCAGGGCCAGATCTCACGAGGCTTTTGAGGGGACTGAGTTTAACCTCTGGGCACAGGGAGCTGCCAGGGAGCCGTGCAGGGAGTGACAGGTTAGACCTGGGCTCCAGACACATCACGCTGGCAGCCCCGTTAGGGGCAGGACAGGGAGGGACAGCTGGAGGCAAGAAGCTGGGCCTCAGAGACAGGCCTGGGAGAACCTGAACTCTGCCCCCCATCGGCTGCGTGACCTGGGGAAAGGGAATCGATACCCCTATTAGCTGCTGACGCGTAGAAATGCCTAAGGAATACGCGGCAGACTCATTGTTATGGTTGATGGTGGCGAAGGCTCCATAATCCAAGTGAGGACTGGCAGAGGCCTGAACTAGAACAGTCACAGGAGGACCGAGCAAGCCCAGCACGGAGGCTGTGGATGCTGTGGCCCTGAGAGGTGGAGGGGGCAGGCGGGGGGAGGCGTGAGGACCACTTCCATGTTTCTGGAGGGACATCGGAAGGGAGGGGATGATGAGTTTGCTAGTAGTTTGGGGTCAGGGTTCGGGCCAGTGGGACACGGGGGTTGGAGGGTGCAGGAGGCGGAGGCTGGGCCTGGGCTGGAGGCAAGGCTGTGGGCACTGTGGTGTGAGCACGTGGCCTGGGCGTGGACAGACCGCTCAGGGAGACTGCAGGGTCAGGCTGGGTTAAGGCTGACTGGCTATGCTCACACATCAGCTTTCAAAAGCGCCACCAACTGAATTCACTCCCACACCCTGAGCCCGGTGGGCGATGCCACCTTTGGAGTGGAGCAGTGTGGGGGGAAGAGCTCTGGGCTGGAATTCCAAAGACCTGGACGCTGTTCTCATCCCAATGTCGCCACTAATTGGCTGTGTGACCCTGGGCACGTTGCCCCAGCTTTCGGCCTCCGTTCCCTCGAGCACCGAGGGGACCTGCTCCGTTGCCCCCCGTTGTCACACTGCCGTGAGTGACAGATGCAGCCGCACACGCCTGCTGAGTCCACCTGCTCAGGGAGCCGGGAAACACGGCCGCACTCAGACGGCCGCTCCCTCTGGGCCCCAGGCATCCTGATTGCTCGGGAAGATTTTACTCCTAAACCGAGGTCCCAGCCCCAGCAGCAATGCCTCCTCCTGGGGAATTCTGGGAGGATCTGGAAGGTGCTTAGAGATCCAGGTCATCGTCACGGCAGCGCTGTCTACTCCCACGACGCAGAGACCTGGGTTGAATCGCTGGATGACTCAGTTTCAGAAGGATTTTTCAATTTGTGAAAGTGCTCACCAGGGGGTTCCTTCTCACAGCAGGGCCCCACGTACATCTAAGTGCTGATCAGCCGTTATGTGCCCATGGCCGCCGGCCCAGCGCCCAGCGGAGAGGCGGCATTCTGGGGCAGCGCGACCTGGGATCTACAGGAGGAAGCCAGCGCCAGCTCTGGGCACAAGCTGCCCTCCCGCCCACCCCGTCTCGATAAAAGACAACCCCTTAATGTCTGAGGGGCTTGGGGGACGGGGCTCCTGGACGCCTCCCAGCCCCGTGCCCAGGTGGGGTGGTCTGCAGGCCTGGGCAGAGTCTGGCCAGCGCTGGGGCATCGGACTGCACTCCGCCAGCACCCAGCACCCAGCACCCCGCACCTGTAGAATCCGCTGCCCCACCTGTGGGATGGGATGTGCTCCACACAGCACGGTGGTCTGTAGGCCTGGGCGGAGTCTGGCCAGCACTGGGGCATCGGAGTGCACTCTGCCAGCACCCAGCACCCCGCACCCAGCACCCAGCACCCTGCACCTGTAGAATCCTCTGCCCCACCTGTGGGATGGGATGTGCTCCACACAGCAATCCAGCCGCCAGCGCTGCTTAAATAGCCCGACCCCCACCCCAGTCCTCCACTCCAGGGCGGGCCCTTCCCTCCCCACTGAAGCCTCCCCCAGGCAGGGCCCCCTCCAGGCCTTCACTCATCTCCCTGCCCCTCTTCTGGCTAATTACCACTTGTTCTTCAACACCCCTTAAGGTACTATTCCGTCCCCGGCTCCCCTAGCACCCCGAGCTTGCCTTTAGGCAGTGGTTCTCAACCTTCTGGCCCTTTAAATACAGTTCCTCATGTTGTGACCCAACCATAAAATTATTTTCGTTGCTACTTCATGACTGTAATGTTGCTACTGTTATGAATCGTAATGTAAATATCTGATATGCAGGATGGTCTTAGGCGACCCCTGTGAAAGGGTCGTTCGACCGCCCAAGGGGTCACGACCCACAGGTTGAGAACCGCTGCTTCAGAGCCTACTATGGGCTGTAATGATTTATTTACATGCCTCCTACACGTCATGGTATTTTCTTTATATTTTTATCTTCAACACATAGCACAGGGTCTGGCATATATATATGGTGTACGCGGCAGATTGCAAAAATTCTTTGCAGCCCCTCCAGTAAGGGGTGGAGCCCATCTCCCCACCCTGTGAATTTTGACTGGCCCTGTGCCTTGTTTCCGACCATAGAATATGTGCGTGGGTGCGAGCCATGGCCTCACAGGGCTTTGCTTGCTTTTGCTCATTCTCTCGGGACCCCTGCCACCACCACCGTCTGAACAAGTGTGGGCTGGGCTGCTGGGGGCAGAGAGACCTTGTGGAGCAGAGAGGAGTCAGCCCTCCCCACCGCCCAGCATCAGCAGAGCCCAACCCCAACTGCAAACCAGATCGTCACCCGAATAGGCGGTGGTTGCTTTAAGCCACTAAATCTTGGAGCTGTCCATCATGCACAAGAGCCAGCTGCCTGGAAAGCGCGAATAACTGGACTCCCGCGCCCGGAGAGCGTTCTCTGGGCCAGTTCTCCTTTGCTGGTTCAGTGTGAAGCTAGTTATGATTATTTTTTAAAATTGTGATACATTTTACCATCTTAACCACTTTTGTGTGTGCATGTGTCATGCACAAGAGCCAGCTGCCTGGAATAACTGGACTCCCACGCCCGGAGAGCGTCCTCTGGGCCAGTTCTCCTTTGCTGGTTCAGTGTGAAGCTAGTTATGATTATTTTTTAAAATTGTGATACATTTTACCATCTTAACCACTTTTGTGTGTGCATGTAGTTCAGTCGTGTTCCGTACATTTCCACTGTTGTGCAATCAATTTCCAGAAGTATTTTTATCTTGCAAAACGGAAACTCTGTACCTATCAACCCTCCCCTGCCCCCCATCCTCCTCTCTCCCTCCCCACTGAAGCCTCTCCCAGGCAGGGCCCCCTCCAGGCCTTCACTCATCTCCCTGCCCCCCTGTGGCTAATTACCA